TCGACGACGAAATGCACAACAATCCACGATGTTCATGATGATGATGATGATGACTATGTTCATGATATTCGCGGCGATTGGGCGCACTCAGGTGCACCGGAGGTCAAGCGGCTCGCAGGAATTTCCATACCCGCCATTCCGTTTGCGACCTCAAGTGCCTGTCGCAGGAAAATCTTTTTCAATACACGGTCTTCGCAATGACGCAATAACAGCTGATAATTAAAAGATCTTCACAAAAAAAAAAACAACGCAAAATGATATCATCACCCGTCAACGTTTTCGCAATTCCGCAAACGATGATTAGATAAAGCGAAATGCAAGACCGAATCAATTTGACATGTGTCAAAAAAAAAATTAAATTGACGTGTGTCAAAATAAAAATAAAAATTGACATGTCAAAAAATAAAATAAAAATTGACATGTGTCAAGTACGGAAATAAAAGAATAATTTCATCAACGATAAATAAACGTACTAATCAATATTGTAAACGCATGCATCATGCTATTATGGGGCACTTTCTAAGTCGTAAGTAATTTGGAAGCCAATAGACTCGCGTCTGCTTACAAAGTAAAAGATGTAATTTAAAAAAAAAATAAACTTAGAAATTTAGGTTAAGTTAGAAACAATCGAGATATGTAAACAGTTTCAATTAAAATTGATTGAATGTTGAGAAATAATGCAATTATAATACGAAATGAAATGTCAAGTTGGATTGAAATGTTTTGTGTCGTAAATTGAAAAAAAAAATAAAAACAAAAAAGTCCAGGCAGGCTTTGAGAAATGCGTAACGCATATGATGATGCAGCAATCGAATTCGATATGTATATGATCGTTTAGAAAGGGAAAAAAAAGACATGATTATGTTATGTACTAATTTAAATAAAGGAAACCCCGATTCATGCGCAATTCAATGCGTGTACAATTGTAATGCGAAGAGAATTAAGAGAAACCTCAAGAAATAATCGTGTGCAAACGAATATACAAAACTTAGATATTAATTAATATGCGTCATTTGTATTAATTAAACCAGTGTTTTCCAAACTTGAAGTTACTACGCCTCCCTCAAAAGTATGTAATCATTTGGCGCCTCCCCTTTCATAAAAAGAACGCGCATTACAGCAATATGGACAAGAGCACAGTAATATATCGGAATGTATCTATACTTGCTGGATTCCCCAAACATTCAG